TCTTCACTTGACTCTGGGAACCTCATGGGGTAGAAAATAATAAATACCAGAAAGAAAAACTGCCCTTGTTTCTGAAGATGCAGTACACAGGAAAGATACCTCAGGGGGTGCCACAATTTTATAATTAAATAATGTAGTAAAAACTAATTTATTGCCTTTCCCACCCCTTGCCCTCATTAAAATTTTCCCACAAGGCTTCACAGATTCTAACCACTAATATAAACAACTGGTAAATTATTATGATTCAACTACTTAAAAGAGTGCAAGACTACAATGGTATACTGTTTTTCACAGCTAACATAAGCACTGCATATGAAAAAAAATCCAGCAACACTTTGAGAAGAAACAAATCCTAACATATGACAAAATCTATAGGTCATGAATGCCAGAACTTCTGGATGAAAAAGATTTCCATACACAATCTCAGGTGTGTCAGAACATCACTGAATTAGCAGAGATCTTCTTTGAAAGGAAAGGCAGCATTCACAATGAGTTAGTGTCCAACAGCACCTTCAAGAAAGTCTGAAAGCCTGGCTTTATGACACAGACCTCAACCACGCTTCCCAGGTGAAGGGACAGATTTGAGAGGGTAACCTACTCCAAAATGAACACAGACTGACCCATTTTTCCACAGTGCTACATGCCAGCAATTCCTAGGAAGTTTAGCTACTCTATACCAGATCACACATCATAATTAATGCCAACTTTGTGGAACCATGTTGCCTGTGCTTTGTAGCAACTGTATCTCATGACAAAGGCAGGTTTCTGTGCTGATGCTTACTTTAGCAGAACACTGAGGTCTACACAGAATTTCTCCCTCCAAGTGGTTTGTGAATAGAAAACACCACAAATAAAAGTTTGAAGAAGGAACATTTTCAAACTAAGAACAGAGTGAAAGTTATTCCTAAATAGTATATGTTAAAATCTTCCCAAATTAAATATTCAGATTCAGAAAGAAAAAGTTTGTCAACAAAGTTTATGATGCAGAAAGTATGTTGATTTTCTTGTCTAAGGTGCTGTTTCACCTATTTCTCCCACAGTTTCATCTATTTTTCCCCTGCCATCCTCTGTTCTCTACAGAACCAAGTTCCTGTGTTACATCAAGTCTTTCACTATATTTTAGCTGATCAAATGGAGCTCATTGTCACCAATCCTCTCTAGAACAGCTTCTGGATGGATAAAGTGCAGGAGATACCCATAAGAAAGTTTTACCCACAACTGCAGGATTCTGGACAGATGACTTATTCAAAAGACATTCCTTCATCTGGTCTGAACATCAGTATTGTCAAAATTTTGTACCATTATTTAGTTCCTCTCAAAGTTGACTGGTTCTCAGGTCTCAGTCTAGTGAAGAAGACACGTCAAAAAGTTATTTTGCAAAGCAGCAATTTCACCTCAATGCCACAGCTTCCTTCCATATGTAATAACACAGATTATTCCTCCAACTCATATCACGAAGTCAATTCCTTTGTACTACAGAAGCCTGCAATTTTAAAGTCCCTCTCTTGAGGATGAGAAACTGCTTCAGGTGGTAAGAGGGACAGCATGCAGTTAACTTTTTCCCAAAGGTCCCATGCCAACAGCTGGCACTACCATCAGCACCCACCCAGTCTCATGACCAGCACAGAAGGTTTTTCTGGGCAAAAACATTGCAGAAACACTGCTAAGGTGTCTGATCAACTTGGCAATAGTTAAAGGGCAACATCCTTCAATTCAGTCCCTCACCTGTGAAAAGTACTGTCTTGTTTGGTCAGCTGCAACAGCATTACATTTTAAGACACGTCCTTAAACAGAACACCTGACTTTTGACAAAAGGCTGCTTTGTCCACTATCAGACACAAGGCCTCCTTTTATTTAAAAACCAAGCAATGAGCTAAATAAGTGAGAAAAAGTAAAATTATTTATCGTCATGACAAAAAAGTGAATGACGGCAGTAAGACTCTTGCTAAGGTAACTGATGATTTCCATCAGATTATCTGTGTAGGCAAAAGCCCTACAAATTCTGCTCCATGATAGAGTGGATTTCTTGCTCCAGAGTTCTATTACCATCCATAGTACTATTCAAACACAACTGCTGGAACACGTTCAGAAAGACTCATCTCAAGCTTTAACACTTCAATCTGAACCTACTGCATACTACAACAAGCCTGAAATCTCAAGCTCCATATATTTTTCAAGTAAACAGATTTCCAGGAATAATCTGCCTTATAACAATTATTGTAGAAGTTCAAATGGAAACCAGGAAAGTAAACTTCTATTTAATATTTTACATTTAAAAAGAGGTAAATTTCTGTAAACCAAGTTTTGTTTCTATATTAATTTGTCATACTTTCTTAAATGAGTGCTGTGTTCATATCCTAAAAATTATGACACGATTTTTCAGGTAAGCAATTTTGTTTACATTTAAGCTTCATGCAGAGCAAGTTTTAGCCTTAGAAAATTAAACACATTAAAAGGTACTGTCAAATATTCACCAGACTCTATATACTGATTTAGACTCCTCAAACATATAACTGACCCATGCATCCTAAATGACAATTGTAGCTTCCAATAAAATCATAAAGCCTTGGCCAACCAAATAAATAAAGGCAGTCCAGTGTAGTTTATGTGATCAGTTACAAACTTAGCTGCCTGAGATTGTTGCATGCATAGCACAGATGTGAATTTCAAAAAATGTTTATTACTGGCAGTGTAACAATGTAGTGATCCATGTAATACCCAATTTCCTGATTATAAAAACTCTCTATTTTAGAAGTGGTATCTTGAGCAAGAGTTACCCTTGCCCTAATGTAGCTGTTCAACAATGAGATGAGAAACAATTTGGGCAAATTAATGAAGCTCTGCAGCTCCACAGAAGAGAGGAAGGAAAGCTGTGTGGAAAAAAAAAAAAAAAAAACAGACATTTTTTAAATCATTTGCAGTTATCTTAGGTGAGATTTCAGGCAGACACCAGCAAGCAGCAAACAGCAAACAGCGAAACAGTCTTCAAGAAGCTGAACTAACTTTTCTCCACTCCTAAAATGACATACCATCGCGCAGCATCAGCGCACAAAGCCCAATAGGCCAAAAACTGTATCACAGACACCACTCCATGAACTCCTAAATGGATATTCTGGTTGCTTTTAAAATACACACAAAATGGTGCTACCCCTCCACCTGGGAGCATAATCACATCATACTAAAAAGCAACTTTATACAGAAATTAAATTGTTCATTTGCCAAAGGCACCAAAAGGTCCAGTAGTTTATGGGATGAGGGGGAAGGCTCCCTTTATCAGGTTTAGCTTTATTCTCCTCTGTATCACTCATGAAACAAAACTCCTATGAGAGCTTATCCAAGTTTCTCAGGATCTGATGGTGCATAGAAGTTACCAAGAAACATGATCTATGGGGCACATTGATGATGAAGTTTTGGTCGTGGGGCTTGGGGATTTTTTTAAGTTTATTTTAACTTTAAACCACTATTCTACCTAATTTTCAAGTCAGGTAATGGTCTGCACTGCAAAGATTAATTTGCCACATGTAGTCTGCACCCCCAGGATCCAATCTCCACTCTGAATGGAGGAGAGAGGTGAACTAAGAACACCCTGGTAGTACTAATCCTCCTCTTCCTCAGAGTGCTTATCCCATACTTCTGGAACAGTTTATCTCCCCTTCACTGAGGGCTGCAAAAGACTCTGTGTCAGTCACATTCCTCCCCAAAAACTGTATGTTTATTGCAGCAAACAGTCCTCTGAATTCACAAGAAAGCTCAGGCATACATCCACACCTTCCTGTCATAGAAGTAGACACCCCCCAGCAGCATGACCAGAATTATCAATGATGACTCTTTCAACTCTCATGAAAAACTAAGATTTTTCCTTTCAGGATGAATCCAAAGAGGCTTTGATTGCAACTTCCAGGCTCACCCCATTTATGGAGGAGTTTTTCTAGTGATGGTATCAATTGAGTGAAACCCCACAACAGGAAGAATATCTTTAGCTTAAAGTATCTGACTTCATCAACTCTTCAAAAAGCAGAGCTCATTTGGCAATAAATTAAAAAAAATGCAGAATCTGCTCTAGAAGCAGCGTCTTTCCCCTTTCCTTTACACAATCTTCATGCATATTTTGGATGCAAGAGGTGTATTCTTTGGCAGTTGCCATCTCAACTCCCAAAGAATGGAGCAGACCACCAGATCACCTCCCTCAACACCAAAAAAGGGGGTGGGGTGGTGATCCTATACAGTTGCCCATTATACCAAGGGGAAGGCATAGATCCTACAGAGTTGCCTTGGAGGGCAATACATATAGAAGTCAGCTAAAAGTTACAGAAAGCTCAAAACTAGCTGGCAGAAAGACAAACTTTCTGTTCTTGCCATTGGTTTGCCTGACACTAGCTGACTGTTCCAGTAGTCCTTCACACCAGAAGCAAAGCAGCTGAAATTCATCCCTAATGCAGCTCCAGCGAGACAAATAGGTTTCTCCAAGAACGAATCAGGTCCTGTGTATCTCAAACCAAGTCCACTAATGTTTCACTGAAGTGAAATTACAGGATTACAATCTATGGATAACAGCTGGAGAACATTAACTCTCCCCCCAACCCTTGCCGGGGTTAATATTTTTCTTTCTGTTCAGACAGGAAGCAGTCATATAGCATACTGCATAATATAAGGATCCTGGGATATAAAGACGAGTAGAAAAGGATTACAAAGAGCGCTCTACACATTTTTAGCGAAGTTAACGCCTTCGAACAGCAAGCCGCGCCGCTGCCTCGACATCATGAGCTGAGACAGCACTTCAGCTCCTTGGTTTAAACCTAGTGAAAAAAAAATTAATTAAAATAAAAGTTAAGGGTGTTTTTATGGGGCGCAGCGGGAGACTGTGTCGCGGATCCGGGCGGGGGTCGTCCCGGCCGGGGAGAGGAGGACCTCGCAGCGGCGCCCCCCGCCCGGTCACCCTCCCCCGGCCAGGACGACCCCCGCCGCTGCTCCAGCACCCCTCTTGCTGCCCCCCAGCTCACCCTCGCTGCCGTACTGCTTGCCATTGTTCGCGCCCATCCTGCCGCCTTCATGCTCGTCGCCGCTTTCCCACGCCGCCGCCCAGCATCTCTGCCGCGGGGCACCGAGCGGCCGCGGCTGACAGAGTGCAGCCCTGGGGCAGTGCAGGGGGAAGCCTCCGAAAGTGTTCACGGCGACATGTCCAAAGCAGCCTTGCAACTTCCTCCTCCGTTTCTTCTCGGGTGGCCGACAGCCTCCCTTCCTCACCAAAAAAAAAAAAAAAAAAAAAAAAAAAAAAAAAAAAAAAAAAAAAAAAAAAAAAAAAAAAAAACAAACCACCAACCACAACAAAAAATAACTTTAAAAGCGAAAGACTCAAAAATGCGATGTATCAGTGCTCCCTCCCCGCCCCGATTTCCAGCCGGAGTGTCCGGGGCAGGAAGGCGGCTCAAGTTATAATCCACAAGCAGGACGGGCGGGACGGCCTCCGGGCGCCGGCTCCACCGCCCCGCGTCTGGCGCTTCGCTCCTCCGATACTTCAGCGCCGCTCCGCCTTCCTCCTCCTCCTCGCAGCCCTGCCGCTGCCGCCGCCTCCCGCGGGAGGCCGCCGCCAGCCACTTGTTGCCCGGGCCGGGAGGAAAGGGAGCCTCGGCCGCAGACTTTTGTTAGAGGCAGGCGCCTCCTCCCGGCGCCCAGCGCCCCCGGGCCGGAGGAGGGAGGGGATGGGGATGGAGGAAGGATGGAGCCTGGAGCCGGCCCCGGCCCTTAAAGACACAGCGCCCGGCGCGGGGCCTCTACTGGCCGCTGTCCCCCTGCCTCCCCCGCTGTTCTAGCAGAGCGGCCCGGCGGGATGGCTGCGGGGGCTGCTCTCAGAGACCCACCAAGGGCTGCCTGCCCGGGTATCCTTCCCACGGGGAGGACAGGGTGTCTGCGTTCAGCACCTTCACGGCACCCCCAACCCCGTGCAACTCAGCCGGGGGCTGACAGAAAGTGTCCGTGTGTATGAGGAAGCCACGCAGCAGGGACACCTATTCTCGTTCTCTCCGGCTGCTCCGGAGTGCGAGCTGTTTTCTCCTTGCAAATGGTGTTCCCACAGTCACTCAATTCCAGTGAATCACTGTCGGCCTTTGCCGCCACCTCAAAGAAAAAATATCGGACTGTTAAACATTCCCCAGATTTGTTCTTCAGGTATCCTGTAGGGATATATCTCATCCCTTGGGATAAAATGCTTCTATTTAATTTAGCTGTCTTAAAAACACAGTTTCTGCGTCTTTCACCCCAAAAGACAGGCCCTTAGACCAATGGGATTGGGATAGTGGACGTCGTTAATGGGGTGCGTGCCTTTCCCGAGTGCAGCCCACCCAAGCAACGGCATTGGGAAGCAAAGATTTCACTACTGCATGAGAGCCCACACCACCTCTGCCTGGCAAAAGGGGCTGGGTAACAAGGGACGCTGTCGAATGGGAGTGAGGATATATTGTGTGTGACCAGGTTAATACAAAAACTGCCAGTCCCAAGAGAGTACTTGCCCCCAGTGGGCTAGCTAAGGATATTAAGTAAGTTTGCTTCACACAACTGTTATCCAGATTAAGTGGTAATTGTGTGTTACCAAAGGCTTTTGGGGAAAGAATCAGGTTTAAAAGAAGTGGGAAAGAGGGATGAAAGCTTGTGATAGGTGGAGAGAGACACTAGAGCAGGCAGTTCCTGGTTTGGTGCTGGTATCTCACCTCTGCCTTGGCCTGATGGTGCTGGCTCTGTCTGGTGGCAGGCTGGGGTACAACAAGCAGGGATCCCCAGCCCAGGTGTGTAGGGGGTCTTGTAGCATGTCTGTCAACACAGGGAGCAGCACAGGTACATGTAACTGTACCTGAAACCTGGTTACACGGGTATCTGCAGGACATGTGGAGTAACAGAGGCACCCACACTTCAAGAGGAGTGTCAGCTTGTAGCCCACACGGCCTGGGGAGTGGCACGCCCAAAGCAATGCATGTTTGAGACTAGGAATTTTTAAGGTTAGTTTCAAAGTTCTTTACTAACATTTTGCAAGTATCTGTGGTTGGTGTTTATGTGTTGTATTGCTCATACTGCCCCCAGCACAGAGCTCACTGATTGCTAGGTCAAGATGTCCCTGTTAAAAGGACAAAACCACTTTAATTCCAATTTGATTAAAACCATGAGTTGAGCAGTTTTCCCTGCACCACACTATGATGTTATGTATGAAAAAGTCTGTCTTTCTAAACATATGACAACACCCACAAGATTATTACTGCATATACAGATAATTCTGAGCTAATTATCTTTGTCAACTTATACAAATGGCATATACAATAATGGCAGAGCCAAAAGTATCAACACTGACAAGACTACAGAAAGGTGTCTAAAACCTGAAGTTTTGGGGATGGGTGTGTTAATTTATTTTTTTTTAAGTACATTTTCATTAAGAGGTGGTGGACTAATTACCAGAAGATGAAAAAGGTACCAGCAGCACAGATGACTGACAAGTAATTAGGCAATGTTTATGAGGCTCTAATCCCATCAGATACCCATCATTAACTTTCTCCTTGTAAAGAAGTTTTGATCCCGTTCAATGCTGAACACTACAATACAATGCTACACACACCCTTCAATTCTCAAAAACTAGTGAAGGTCTAAAATAAAGTGTCTTCCAGGGTCAGGCTCATCAAATGACCAGCCTTGGTCCTTTGAAACAAAACATGAATCAGTCTAAAAATATACATTTCTGTAATCAAAGGTTAATTTCTAAGCACTAATATGAAACAAACAGTACTGTGCCGAAGTAGGTAGGCCTTGACACAAGTGTCTGCTTTTAGCATCCTCTACTTTCTTTTTGAGAGTTACCTGTTCAGGGGCAGGGCAGGAGACAGGGGTAGCAATCTGCCGTCTGTAAAAGGTTGTAGGGCAAGATTAATGCCTGCTCACATATGAGCCCACAGGTTGCCAACAAACACATACATCCAAGTACTGTTTTTTTCCTGCTGTGTGGCTTGTGGGGCTTGAAAAACATACCCCAAACACTTGTTAGGAACTCACCTAGGCAGAGTAGGATGGTAAAGAAAAATACAGGGCTTTCTACAGCACAGCAGCCTACCTTTGTCACTCAAACTCTCACACCCAGCTCGGCTGTGGGCCAGCACACCCAGTCATACCATCATCCCCACCAGCACTGTGGGGCAGTGCTAGTCCCCAGCTGTGGGACAGCACATGCAGGCTGAAAACAACATGTGCCCCTGCTCCATGTGTTGCACAGCTGTGCTTAATTCTAACCTGAAATACAGCCATGGGAGTACCCACTGCAAACGTCTCCTGAGGCAGCCTCAGCTCCTCATGTCACACTGTGTGCTCTGCAGCCCATAGCAGTCAACAACCTGAAAGCTTTCCTATGTGGGTCATAGGAGCAGGAATGCAAATGATCCCACTTCTAACTCCTAGAAAGCTGTGCAACCTTTTTGGAATGTAAGAAAGAAATTTCTCAGACTGGTTGGAAACAACACCTCACTCAGACCCAAGCACAGAGCTGTATGTAAATAATTTTACATCATTCAGAAATTATGAATTCACTCCTTGAGAGAAATACAGCAGTTTCCCTCCAAATTCAACATCTGATGCACCACAGCTGAAATTACTCCCTCTGCCATGGGGTAGTTTTGCTTATCAAAACCAGCATAGGCTGATGCTTTTTGAGACAGGAAGCTCAGCTGTTGAGGTAGCCCTGTAATGAATAAAGATATTAGACAGACATTACCACTCTGTCAAGTTTATGAGATAAATCCCAGGAATATTCCACCATGACCAGAACCAAAAGGAAAGAAAAACTAAAATAATAAAACAGAAAACCACCCCAATAACAAAACAAAACCAGACAAAACAAACAAAACAAAATAAGCAAACAAACAAAAAATACCCAGTGAAAAAAAGTCTAGTGAGGAAAGAAAGTCTTGGTCTAGGAAATTTGAACACAGCTTTCTGGTGAAGGACTGAATATTGCTTCTGATCATTCTGTAGGAGAATGAAGCAGAGGACAAGCGACCAAAGTACCAAACTAATTTTGTTATAAAGACATAAAAGTCTCACCTGAAATGTATCCATCACAGATGATACTGCTGACAGTGTGTAACTGTTTCATGCAAGGCATGTAGGACACTCAAACTTGGAGCTTCATAAGCCCAAAAACATCTGCATGAGCAGAGAAGTTGGGAAATGCTAGTTTGAAGAGGCTCTGCAAGTTCCAACCAGGACCGAGTCATCTTATAACCCTTCAGTACTTACCAAACACTCAGTTCATTGTGAGATTCGCTGTGGCACCCTGGGAGGCCTATTATATTCAGACATACGGTTTGGAACTTAGTACCCTTACAGTGCCTGCAGATGAGATTTAAGAAGATATTTTCTTTCAACAATTTCAAAGATGTTTCACTCATTCTTGGAAAAAATTGGTAGTAGGTTTTTTTTCCTTTTTTTTTCACCTCGTCTTCCATACCTTATACATTGTGATTATTCAGTTTGAACTACATAGTTAATTTTTATATAAATACAATGGAAAGTAGGAGTCTCTTCTTGGCTGTCTGAACCATATCATATAGCTTCTATGTGAAGCTCTTTATAATAACCCTTTAAGACACTTCCACCTTCAAAATGGTGCCAAGAATCTGAAAGCACATCAGCTCTGCCATCTTTTCAATGATCCAAAGGAGATACAGTGCTTTCTGTAAGGACAAGAACAACTTTTGGTGGTTTTGCCTCTTAATCCAAGCAGAACACATCCACTTCAGATGGAATGAGAAGTACTGTCAAATGCTGGTTTTGCAAGACAGAAAGATTTGTTGTTCCGGATAAGATGTGCCTCCCTATGCTTTCCTTCTTCATAAGAAGACATCGATGCATTTTTCTTAGACTTGTATCCTATCCAGCAAGAGGAACTCAGAAATTATTGGAGCTGAGGTAAAATAAGAAAGCTATCAGCCAAAATGTTTCTATTTGGATGTGTTGCTACAATAATTTCTGCTACAATCTCTCTCATCTGTATTCATTATGGGCCTCCCTCTGTGGTACATTACATGTCTCATGATGCACCATTTTTCTGTTTCATTAATAAAACCACAGCAATTTTAAAGAAGTAGCCAAATAAAGGGTTCTGGACAAAGAAAATAAAATTTTAAAAACTGAAAGCAGCAGAACTATTTCCATAACGTATTGTCACAGCAATTCAAGGGCTGAATAATTTGGCTTTTAAATTTTTGCCACAGTTGTTTCA